CATTAATTCGGCATAAGACCAAGTAATGATCCGTCCCTACGTTGGACCCACAGTAAACCCTTGTATCTACCACTGCGCTCCTCATTCTTTCATCCACAATTATGAAATCTATCATGCTTCTATCATCCCCTCTTTCCCATGTATACATGTGAATCCTCTTATGGCGAAAGAAAATGTTCGCCACAAAAAGATTCTTTTCTACAAATATGGTGAGGAGGTCTTCACCATTCTCATTTATTCTTTCATCACCAAACGCTCCTAATATCCTTTCATAACCAGACCTCTTCACCCCAACCCTTCCATTAAAATCTCCTAACATAATAATATTTTCGTTTTCCTTACATTTCGTCAACACCAACCTTACCATGTCCCAAAACTACTCTCGGATACAAGTGGGCTTAGAAATATCTGGGGCGTACACCCCAAGCACAAACAACTTTTTTAAGCCCACTTTCAATCGTATCCATATCAGCCTTAGGCTTACAGCTAAGCAAACTAAATTATTAAAGATTAATAAAATGGTTTGTATGCGTACATTTTAATGACATAGCGCCATTTAAACCTTAGGTACTTTTTAACCGTTTAAAGCTTTGGTCGAAAAATGTTTAATTACAGTATTATACAGAAAATCACTATTTTTAACAACAAAACATATTTAAAAATCTTTAATAATTAATACATTTAATCAAAAAAAGTATCGGGAACAGATGATTTGTTAATGGTTCCAAATACAAATATTTTTATTTTGTTGTTGTTAGATTGTTGGCACAAATGTTTTCTATTTTGGTGCAGAGTTTGAGTTACGTCTGTTATTTAGATTAAATACAGCGCTGTTTCTAGGTACACCATATTATATAGTGTGTATTGCAAATTTCACAATGGACAAAAACATCGAATGAAGAGTGTCTTAAATTTTGCAGAAGCCTTAAGGGTGAATCGATTTTATAATCAAAAACTTCAATGTCATCACCATTCATTCTTTTTCATTCAATATTCTTTTATATTCAGCAAAACGTGGTTATGAGTGGTACAAAGCGTTCAAAAGCGGTCGAGATGAGATGGAAGATTTGCTTCGCTCTGGTAGGCCATCAACGTCTGCAACTGAAGTTAACATCGCAAAAGAGATAATGTGACTGAAAATTCTCATTCAAGTTTGAGAGAGATAGCCGCCGAATTTTCTGTGTCTTACGAATCGATCCGTACCATTTTAAATAATCACTTGGGTATGAAACATGTTGCCGCTCGGCTAGTCCCAAAAGACGAGAAAACTCAATCGCATAGAGTCGCTTAGGAGATGCTAGAACGAGTCAATTCCGACCCAACATTCATGAAACATCAGGTGACGAGACAAGCTCCGGAGTGGCGCCTTCCAACTGAACCGAAACCGAAAAAACCACGCCAAAGTCGATTAAAAGTCAAAGTCATGTTAACTGTTTTCTTTGACTATCGCGGTGTTGTGCACTCGGAATTCTTGCCGGGAGGTCAAACGGTAAATAAAGAATGTTATTTGAGCATTATGCGGCGTTGAAGAGAGCAAAGTAGACGATATAGGCCAGATTTGTGGAAAGAAAATTCTTGGATTTTGCACCACGACAATGCGCCCTCGCACAAGGCCATCATTGTGAACAAATTTTTGAAAAACTCAAGCAATATCTTTGAACAACCACCTTATTCACCAGATATGGCTCAAGCCAACTTCTTTCTTATTCCTAAACTCAAATTGCCACTTCGTGGCACCCGTTTTCATTCGGTAGAAGAGAGCAAAGTAGACGATATAGGCCAGATTCATATAGACAAAGGAGAATTCGCAGCGAGAACAGAACTCAATTCCGGGAAAAGCGTTTAAAAATTGTTTTGATGATTGGATTATTCGTTGGCGAAAGTGTATCGTTTCTGAAGGAGCATACTTTGAAGGTGATTAAATAAACTTGGATGAATAACTAACATTTTGTGTATTATTGATCTTTTCTCGGTACTTTCTTGACGGAGTAGTAAGTGTACCAGTAATTGGTTTTTTGGAAACGGCTCTAACTATTCGTATAAAGTTTTAGATTTAAATAATGTTTCACTTGCTTTTCTACTACTATATTTTATTTACCAACTCTTTCTTAACAACATTTATCTAGATAAGTGACATCCCTGAGGAAATTATATTTCTTTCCAACGCTATCCAAATCTGGGTCGCAAAGATACTTTTAGTTATTCATTTATTGAACATAAACTATCTAAGGTATTCTTGAAATATCCTTATAAAAAACGCATTGTACTTTAAACTCTAGCAGGAAATTAAAAAAAAAATAATTATTTCTTCAAAAATTGGGTTTCATAGCAGAAGTAAAAACAAATTTTTTATTTATGCCTTGTACTAAAATAAGATTTTAGTGTTTGAAAAAAAAATTATATATAATAATCAACAAATTCACTTCGTATATTAATAACACATCTGCAACGATTAAGCGTCTCCCACACAGAAGCGGCTTGCGGTGGCGGCCGGGGTAACGACAATGTAGGTGAGTATACAAGCCCGTGCGTGTGTTTTGCAGCGGCCAGCGGCTGGGGCCGTGGCTCACGGTTTCCGCCACCGCACCGCTTGTATGTGGGAGACGCTTATTCATAATCAGAATGAGGTTAGTAATAATATCTCCTTGTGGGATAAAGTCCCAGGTTTATTGAAAATCACGAAAAGTTCGCTTTAGGTTTTTCAGGCTCACGCTATTACAGGTCCCAATGGCATTAGCAACATTGCACTGGATCTCCCACGCTTCTACTTTGTCTATTGATTTCTACTGCTTAAATATGGTGATCCATGGTATAGCAAATCGGTGGTATTTTCTATATTTGTGGTGGTATTTCAATCGATAAACTTGCGAAAATCAAAAATTCGTTCAAAATACTTGAGATACGCTTCAAAGCAAATCTATCGTACCTACCTATATAGCTAGCGCTTTTTTTAATTTGAATTTAGAATACAGAAAAGAAATGTGCCACCAGCATCTAATTGACATTTTAATATTTTTTATGTATATCAGTACTTCTAAAGTTGTTCAAATAAAAGTGAAATATCCCTAGTCAGTGTTGATGTGTGTTAATATAAGGGTATAATGTCATGTAATATATTAATGTCCTAAAGTGATACAAACTAACTACATATTTACAAAATGTCAAAAATTATAACAATGAAATGATATTAAAAACTAGCGATCCGCCCTGGCTTCGTACGGTTGATTTCTGGATCTCGACAACAACGCCACCAACCGTGTCCAATTGTGAATCTAAACCATTCTCGAATCAACTTAATCACCACACACAATTTTTTATAAAAAGGTCAGCATTACAGCCGTTTAGGAGGTCAGTCACATTGATACGGACAGAAGAATAATATAATATTATAAAATATGCACATATTATACATAAAAAGTTAAAACGTTCCACTTGTATCATTGTGTCTATCTATTGATGAAAACCGCATCAAAATCCGTTGCGTAGTTTAAAAGATATAAGCGTAAAGACGGCGGGAAGCGACTTTGTTTTATAGTTTATACTATGTAGCGATGTTAACGAGTTGTACGGCTATTTAACGGCCGGAGGGTATGTCATGATGAAGATAAGCGGTGTGTTATGACACTGAGTGACACCAAATAACGTTCTAGTGCGACGTCATTGCCTTATCGGTTTTCTGAACAGAGATAGAGAACTGTTTGAATGACCTACGAAGCGCCATTTGTTTATAAATACCTCAGTACAGACGCCGATTACGTTTAATATTTTGCTCGATGCGCAGTTACAGCAATACTGAATCACCGACAATAACAACATTAAGCGTAAAGTAATAAACTTGACTTTGGCGGAGCCCAAATGGAGGTCAATATTTTTTTGGTTGTACGTATGTTTTTATCTCTTCTTCTCTAGTTTTTCGATCACGACAATAACTACTGAATACTGTCGATCCGGCATAGGCGACATTAAAATAGTAAGATAAAAAAAGAAGAATATTAGGCGATAGTAAGATAGCAATGAACTTGAAAATAAAAATTATTTTGTGGTATTTGTCGGAAGAATTATTATTAAATCTAGAGTTTACGCGTCTGTTAACTTTATTTACATTAAAGGTTATCAATTCTTGTTTCCCCTGACCGATTATATGTATATCGAACAATAACACTATTTTCCTTCAAATCGACCTCGAGTCGGACTCGATAATATAGTTATGTATATAAATAAAATGATAGAGGATTGCAGTTCTGCGCGCACAACTGCAATCTCAACTACTGGATAGATTTGAATCTTGGCCCTTATCTAAAACAAAGTATTGAGATATCTTCATTTAATACAAAGTTATTAAAGTTTTAAGAAACAGCGATTTTATAAGCACTACGTGTTCAGTGATGTGTTTTCTTGATATATCAAGCAACGCGGACGAAGTCGCGGGTACCAGCTAGTTAAAAACATAAAAATCTGACGCTATACATTTATTATTTTATTTTATCAATAGACGATAAGTCCATTCATGCACTCGGCGTCTATACGACTAGCTGTTTAAAATACAAGCAATATTTTAAATGAAACGTATGTTTACAAATGTTTTAAAAGTTATTCGTAAATAATTACGTTGTTTTTGTTACAATCTTATCTGTAACGAGTGGCAACCCAAGTTCGTTCATACAGAAAAGTGCAAGTCGCGATATAAAACAGGTTACTGTAACATTTATAAAACTGTTAGTAAATTTCTCTATGAAAGTTTTTTTTTAATTACAGGGATAAACAAGCTAACAATCTAACAAAAGCCACAAATGCGTTATTACTCCAATAAGATGATATGCATCTGACGTTGTAATAATTTGTTTATTTGTTTCTTTCAAATTGTTTATATCATTATAATTTCTTAGCCATTACTTCGATGGATGCAGTTGACTCCGGACCGTGTTACGTAGTATTACTTGGGGAAGGCTGGTCAGCGGTGGACTTATGAAAGGCTGTAATGATGATGATGATTTTCTTACCTAAGTAATACAGCTACATTTTTCTTGTTTGCTGCAACTACTACTAGTCTTCCACTCATATTTTGCAGAAGCGTTTCTTCTTATACCATGGGCTCCATGACTGCGAACAATATATAATAAAAAAATTAGAGATACGTACTTACTATATAATAAATTATTATCATAATTAAGACCGTTACAAGTCCACCACTGAACTTAGGTCTTCTTACCGAACTTAGAACGATCCATGACACACATAACACACAGTTTATAGCAGACTGCAAAATAAGCTAGATTACAATTCGACTGTATGTTTTTTGTATGTATGTTGGGCGTCAATTGTGAACCACCTTTTATTAAATAGGTTATACATTAGGGGTGGTAATTTAAAGAAAAAGTACCTTAATTCCAGTAATAACAAAATGCACAGGCAATTAATTTACATTGAAGACTAGATAAGTGTAATATGATTTCATTAAATGATCGAAGAGCGTTTATGGATTTATACTTATTACACAAAATCGTAAACAATAAAATTAGCTCAAATAATCTTTTAGGTAAAATATTATATGTTGTTCCTAGATATACGTGATATACGTGGTAGTGCCATGCTTTAAACGTGGTAGAGCCATGCTGCATATAGTATAGTTGTAGCACTAATGGGTCGGCTCGACTGGGGAAGGACCACGCTCTCACAGAATACCAGCGTAAAATAGCAGCTTAATGCTGCTGTGCTTCGTATGGTGAGTGTAGAGAACCGGAAACCCTTTTTACTGGAAAAGAGACATTTAATCTTAGTCCTCACGGCTGACAACGCACCTGCATTTTAATTCGAAAACGAAGATAGATGAAGATATCTATGGGCCACAGCAACCACTTACCATCAGGTGGACTGTGTGCTTGTCTGTCACCCTTATTCTATAAAAAAGAACAGTTTATTCAAAACTAGGTATTGTAGAACAAATGTTGGATAATCAGCTCCAATTAGTAGATCTTGACATATTCAACGATTCTTATACCACTTTTAAAAATAACCATTATAAACTGACAGCTCATGAGGTACCTTGAGGATCATCAGCTGATTAGTGACCGCCAGTACGGTTTCTGTCGGGCTCGCTCAGCTGGTGATCTTCTGATTTACCTGACTTATAGATGGGCCAAAAGGGCCACCACCTGGCCGTTAGTTTGGACATTGCGAAGGCCTTCGATTGGGTTTCGCACAAAGCGCTTTTTTTGAAGCTCCTAAGAGTTTCATTGGATCACCAGTTTTCTTGCAGATCGGAGCATCAAGGTCGTAGCAGACGGTGCATGCTCCGATTACAAGTCCATTAATGCTGGTGTTCCACAAGGCTGTGTGCTACCACCTACACTGTTTCCTTTGCATATCAATGATACGTTGACAGCACTGATGATGCTTTTTACACCGGCCGTGCCAATATTTCTCGGGAAGCTTCGCCAAGTACTGGAACAAACTGTATCTGAAGTCTAGTCTTTGTTTAACAAGTCTCGGATTGGGTGCGACTAAATCTAGTCAATCCCCAGAAGACACAAGTTTGTGCATTTACCGCTAAAAAGAATCCCTTTGTCATATCTCCTCAGTTTCAGGGCATTCGCCTCAGCCAGGCACAGGTTCGGCCTCATATGGAATATATCACATCTCATCTCTGGGCCGGGACTCCCCAACTCCTTCCACTTCACCCCATCATCTGAATCATCACCATCATCAGGTTCATCTGGATGCACTATGGTCCACAACTGTGCGATTTACTAATAGTTTTTTTCCTCGCACGACTACTTTCTGGAACCGTTTACCATCTGCGATTTTTCCGGATCGATACGACTTAGGGATCTTCAAGAACCGAGCTTACTCCTTTTTAAAAAGGCCGGCGACGCACCTGTAATTCCCCTGGCGATGCAGTTGTTCCTGGGCGGCGCGGCGGTCGACACTTACCCTTAGGTGAGTCGCATGCTCGCTTGCCCGTTTGCTCGTATTCGCAATAAATTAATTAATATAAAATAAATAAATTTCACATTCTGAATTCAGGGCTTAACTTTTTCTATGCACTACTTACGAGTATGTCTTTTTTGAAGTCGATTAAAGATTTAATAGTCAATGAGCTGGTAATCATTTTTATTATAAATCAATTTTTTAAATATTTATAAGAATTTCTATAAATATTATAATTTAAGAGAATTTCGTGGCGGTGTAAGAATATCCACTACCCCATAACGTCCCGTGGGTGTCGTAAGAGGCGACAGAGGGAAACAAATCAAGAGATGGACAGCAGCGTCTTCCTAATAACGACTTAAAATAAAACTGCGGTTGCCAACCCACTTGCCAAGCGTGGCAACTATGGCAAATATCCCCCTATGAGGCAATCTATGACTTTAGTAGGCTGTAACGGTAACGAGATATGTAGAGACATTATTTAATTACATAAAACATACCGTAAAAATTATTGGAAGCTAGGATTACCTTTAAGTAATGTACTTTATAGTATAAAGGTACCAACAAATGTACGTAAATATATTTTGTACAGAAGCAAAAATTGGAAATGGCGAAAAGAGATATCGCAGCAAAAGCGTAGTGTCTTTTTTGTTTTACGAGGGAAGACTAGATGAAAAAATCTTCTTCCAGAAACTGTGTTCGACGGCATCGGTAAAAACAAAAATGTATTGCACAACTCCGAAATAGTTTTTTGAGACCGCTTTGCTACGGCTGACTTTTGTTAAACAGATTTTGACTACCTGCCTTTTTTTCTCAATGCATAGGTGCTCTCACCCCTCAATCAGCGTAAAGGTCGGCGAAATGCATTTCAAGTAGCTTTTAACGTTTCTATGGATACATAAGCGTAAAGCTTGTCACATACTTGTGGTCGATCATGCCATTGTACTTAGTACTTTCATTTATTCTATGACCATGGCCATGGCCCGTCTATTTAGGTTATACCAAGGCATTTAGTTATCAAGAACGTCAAAATCTAGCAATTACAATAAAAAAGTTAGCGCTGAAGCGTATTCAATTCTAACAAAATGAGCTATTTATGCAACTTAGAAACTACCATTCGAAAAGGTATCTGTAAGTGTTTTGTGGAAGTATTATTTATTTTATTGACATTTTAAGTTTTTATCAGCCCGTAACACACGAATTACGATACACGAGAGAGCCTTACTGGTCTTTCTCACTGTCGCCTCTTACGATATCCACGGACTAAATAGGGTGATAGATTATTTTACCCCGCCAGCACATATTTCATGCCCTGTTACTTTCTGTATATTCAAAGCTTGAAAATGTACAAAATGACTCTACCTTTCCAGTAAATATCATCCAAGTTGTAAGTGAAATTCGTATTTATGTGGAAACAAGTAGTTAATGAATAACCGTTGAAACGACATTCAACTCGATATATATTCACGGCCGCGTTAGCAATGTTAATTCTTTTGCGTGCAGCGACGCTCTACTTGGTGTAACGGAACGTCGCATGGTCAGCCCCGCAGCTGGTTTTTTGAAAACTCATATCCGCGCCATTAATGTAACAATCTACGTGACAACTCACACATAACTAGTGCTTACAATTTCCTGGCAAAAGTAGAATCATCTAGAATATTCATGAAACCATTAACAATAAGATGCCACTTGGAAAATATATTCACTCAATTTAACATCATATTCAGAACAAAAATATTATGGTCACATTTAAAAGCTTATGCAAATTAAAAGCCAGAACGACAGCATCGTTAATTAAATTCATAAATATGTAATATAATTTCAAGTCACGTAACGTGGCTTCGTACGGACACTTATGTGTAATCAAAGTCGAGCTTGGGCATCTTTGCTAAGTTTACAATACATCCACAATAGGAGGAATGTTGGTTAAAAAAAAAACTTTAGTGTCTTCCGTCCCAAGTTGCATGATAAATGGCCGACATTACGTACAGGCATGACGTACGTAGGTATAAGTCTCTGGGCACCATATTATCCTCTTGTACAGGTGTCTCAACACGAGATCCGTCGATAGGAAGAGTGCCCGTTTTAATTATGGATGTTATGAATATTTGTATTCGCATTTGCCTATGCGAATGATTCGCATCATTTTAAACATTCGCATCAACATTCACATTCGCGTCAAGCGATGCGAATGTTTTGCGAATGCAAATGTGTACAGGTCTTGTCGTGTCTCGCCTAGTGGCCGCGCGGTTGGTCGATCCTCGTACGCGCAGAAAGCGCAGGCAGGCATCAGGTGTTTCATTCGACCAATAGAAGCTGTTTCATTCTCGCTGCACGAAGTCTACACTAATATTGTTGAATTGGCTCAAGTCTGTCTAACCGGGATGGTGATAATAATCGGCGTTAAGCTTCAGACACTAAAAAGTTGACTAGTATAACAAGCAACATTGATGAACCTTGAGCAAGTCCTGCTAAAAGTCTTATAAGCAACCTGGCAGGAATTCTAGATTCCTCAAGTGGAAACGAAGGCTCGGGAAATATCTAATCGCTCCACCGGCCAGCGTTCCTAGGGAGCACCGATCAACTGTTCAGCACAGTCGGCCTTATATACGAGCCTCTTAGAAATCGCCTCATGGGCGAAAAGGCGACTATATTACTTTCTCTGAAATATTATATTCCTCTTTTGAACTTTGTCTATTAGATATAATTACTGTATAAGTATAACACTGGTTTACTGTTTTAATATTTTTTCATATTCCTATTATAAGTAATAAAAGTGATGACTGCTTTTTTTAATGTTATTCCCAAACATTCGCATTCGCATTCGCACATTTGCATCCCGAATGTGAAAAATATGACGTAACATTCGTAACATACCTGGTTTCCTGGTGCGTATTAAGCCTACATTCTCGTAAAATCATGAAGTTTACTCGCTGACCGCAAGTCTAATTTTACGTCACCGGACAAAATTGTTGTACACGATGATCTAAAAATAATGAATGGTTAAATCTAGTAGTTTCGAAAGTGAAATTTAAACGCTACATTGTTATCTGGTCGGTAGAGTAGATATATGATTTAACAATTTATGCTGACGCCTTTACACCGTATTGGTTATATGTCCCTCTCTTTCGCTCTTAAGGCTATAAGACTCTGGAACGAAATACCTCTTGACA